CGAGCCGCTGCCCTCCTTGCCGGCCTCGGAGCCCCATTTCCTGCTTTTTCAGTTTTCTTGGGGAGGAACGGGTGGGTCTGGATGAATTGCCCCGGGGGTCCTCGATGAGGCGGACCGGAAGGCCGTGCTCCTTTTAGAGGGTCCCTGCGGGACCCGGGTGGGGAAGGGGTTGTCTTTGCATGGTCGGGGGACTTCCCGAGCTTGCCGGGACCATGACCTGAACTGTGCGGGCGGGACGTGTCCGAAGCCCTAGAGCCAGCTCACCTGAGCCGCCCCCTCCCCGGCCAGCATGGTAAGTGGAGTGGGACCCTCCGCCCCACTGGGGGCCCTGCCGCAGGGGTGGGAGTGGGTCCCGGGGCTGCTGAGCCATCGTTTCTCTCCCCCGGGCGGGGAGAGGCGCGTGCCGAGCCTGGCTGGTGACACATGCGTGCAGGGTGTGCAGCCCCGGCTGTGCGCTCCCATCCCCCCCAGGGATGTCTCAGGACTGGGAGGGCCCTGGAAGCGCAGCAGGCACAACCCTTGCATCTCCTTGTTTGCTTCCTTCATAATGATAATAACTATTATTTACTTATGGCGGGTTTTCTGTGTGCCCAGGGCCTGTGCTAAGTGATTGACGGGTATTACCTAATTATCACACCAACTCCTTTAATCGGAAGTGGGGAGACTGAGGCATAGAACCATTAATTACCCGGCTCAAGGTCAAGCGCTTTTCAAGTGGCAGTGGCAGTGGCAGTATTTGAACCTAGGCATCCCGACTTGAGAACTCCTCCGGGTTCAGGGAGAACATCGTGTCCAGGTGTAGGTTTATATATATGGGAAAACAGCAAGATTTGCAGAGGTCACTTGGATGATAGCAGAGTCGGCAGGAGTATCCCCTGGATACTGTTCTCAATGCTGCGAGCTCTCTGGCCTTCTCCCTGGTAGTGTTGGAAAGCTCCATCCTTTCTGATTCTGCTAAGAAGCCTCTAGAGGATATCTTCCTCATTTTCCTGAGCCATAAGCATTCTCAGTGCTCCTTTAGATTTGTGTACTGCCATCTATCTATAGAGCATTTGTCTTTTTACTTATTTTTGTGGCGCCAGGGATGGGACCCGAGACCTTGTGCATACTAGGCAAGGCTGTATCGCTGAGCTACATCCCCAGGCTGAGCATTTGTCTTAAAAAAATTTTTTTAATTGAGCCTTATCTGTCCATTGCAGTAGACTCAACTGTCTCAAAGGTGAAGTTGTCTGAATCTTTATCTGCCCTAGTTCTTGGCATGGTAGTAAGCCCATGGTGAGTAGTTATTTGCCCAGCCTGTGTTTGGGCACATTCAGGGCTGGCTCTGTGCTCCTCAAGGCCACTGTTTTACCGCTGCCAAGTTAGTGGAGTAGTAGGGAAAGGGATGCCGCTTCTGTGACACAGCCAGTGGAGGTTTGAAAACTTTCAAGGGGCCTGCTTGTGGTTTGGTAGGTCCTAGAGTATAGAAAGAGGATCTAAGTCATTGACCCTTTTCCTCATAGGGCTTTTATCCAGCTGGATAAAATACAGCCATTAATGTCCAGCAGCATGGCATAAGTCGTACACACACACTCTGTCTCTGTATGTGTAAATTATGCGTTATATGTGTGCACACATACTCTGGTGGCAGACGAATTAAGCACTTTGAGTTCCAATTTTCTTATCTATACAGTGTGGAGATAGGAATTCTCTAAATAATCCAAAGGTATGAGATACATGTAACATTTAGCAACCGAGGAAAGTAGTACTCCTTTCCTTCATTTATAATTCCAATAATTAAAACATTTCCAAATTATTCTTTCAGTTTTTAATTTTTGTTTTTTTAGCTCTGGTAGGATTTACATAAAACAAAACATTTTACCTGTACAGTTAGTTGAGTGGCATCACATACATTTACGTTGCTGTGCAACTCTCTTGGCCATCTACTCCAGAAGTTTCTCATCTCCCCAAACTGAAACTCTGTACCCTGGGCATGAACTCCTAGTCCCCTCTGTCAGCAGTCCTTCTCCTCTGGGGCCTTGGAAACCATCATTTTGCTTTCTGTAAATGTGACTACGTTAGGGCCCTCATGGAAGTGGAATCATACAGTATTTGCCCTTTGGTGACTGGCTTATTTCACTCAGCTTAATACCTTCAAGTTCATCCATGTCGTAGGGTGTGTCAGTTTCCTTCCTTTCTAAGGCTGAATTCCATTGTGTAAGAGGCACATTTTGTTTATCCATTCATCCGTCAGTGGATACCTGGCTATTGTGCTTAATGCTGCTGTGAATATGAGTGTACAGCTATTTCCGTGGATTTTACACGGCGACTATATGCCACATCCTGGAGAAGGCACCGAAGGAGCCAGACCCCAGGTACCTCCCAGGGAACTTAGACCACGGGTTTCACTTAATTGGCAGTCAGTAGAGCCCTGGAATGACCACCTTTGAGTAATTAATTGTAAAGTTGTTGACTTCTTGACCTCTAGTAGATTTTTTTTTCCTGAGGTAAGTTGTGATCAACCTTAGTTATTTAAGCACACAGCGAATGGTCACTGTGGATGTGAGGTGAATGATCACATCCTCTTTGTGTCTCTGATGCCAGTGGGTCACCTGTGGTTGCTCCAGGGGTTTGGGTGGGGCAGGCTTTGTCCCCTAAAAGCCAGGAAATCATTGCCTGGTTTGTGTCTGTCAAGAGAAGGGTCTTTTCCCTGGGATCACAGCTCTTAATTCAAAGAATTCTTTCTCTCTTCATTTCTTACCGATTTACAGTTTGACTTTTAAGAGTATTGGTTGGTCTAAGTTTGAACCTTTTAAATTTCTTTTTAAAACATCAAGTCTAGGAAGACTTGAAGAAAACTATCATTTATTAACTACGCAGTGCGCATGTCAAATATGCAGTTTTTCATTTAGCCATTCAGTATCAGTTCACCTCACCAACCCTGTTAGGTCACATTGTTGCTGTTACTACCAGAGGAAGAGATTAATAAACCTGCTCTTGGATGGAGCTGGCATCTATCTGGACCCATGGTACTGTATTCCAAATCCTGTGTTCTTCACATTGGGCCATGTCATGGGAAAGATTATCAGGAATGTCACTGAACTGTGTGCTTGTTTAGTTCTGAGATAGATAGTGGTCGAGCGTAGGGAGAATGGGGGAATTTCTTTAAATTGTCCCTCCAGCAGAAGAGAATTTGACCTGCATTTTTACAGCCAGTTAAATGAGAATGGTAGTTCCAGTACAGAATTAGTTAGCTGTACTCTAACTCCATTTGATTAAATCATCATTTTTTGTGGAATTCCCATGAGATTTTAAGTGGTGTAACATGTTAGAGGTTCCTACTACTTCTCTGAAAAGTTATTACTTAATATTGAATGAGCTGCTGCTTAAAACGGAAATTTTGTGCAAAATTGAATCTTTGCTTACGTTAGTATTTCTTTTTTAGTTGCTTAGAAATTCCATTGGTTACAAAGGCTTATTATTTCTTTTTTTTTTTAACGTCCCACTCCGTGAATGGTCCCTGTAGTGGAGACAAAATCAGACTTTAAATTTGGCCACTCACATGGTGTGTCATGGTGCCAGATTGTGTCCACAGTGTTGTGTGGTACACAGTGCTGTGTGAGGCACAAGGAAGCCACCATGGTAGTGTGAGCAGATGCAGGGAAAGGTTCAGCAGAATCTAGGGGTTCTGTAGTTCTGTCACATCATTAGAGATAGTCTGGGTGACATTTAAATATCAAGAAGTGACTTTTGGAAAAATTGGTGCATGACATGGTTCAAATGACGAAATTGCCTGGTAAACAAAAACTCCTGTTAATGTATGTAAAAGCAATTCTCAGCATTAAGCCCAAAGCTTTTTAGTATCTCATACATTCATGAAATATTTTTTTGATTTCTGTTTCAAACTTAAAATCTCAGGTGCTGTGACTACAGTATAACAGTGTGTTAGTTAATGTTAAGTATAGATTAGTTTATGCCAGCTATTTTACATATATGAATTCACTTTTTCTTCTAAACAATGCTAGGAGGTAGAGGCTATCTTTATATCCCATTTTGTTTTGTTTGTTTTTTTGTTTTTTAGATGACATTCAAGACACTAAGAAGTCAGGCAGCTTCCCAGAATTACACTGCAACCAAGTGGTAGAATTGGGGTTCAAACCCAGGTAGTCTGGCTCTGGAGTCAGTGCTCAGGGTGTAGGAAGTGTTTGTTTATTGAGCCGTGGGCTCCCTCCCCTGCGGTGCAGAAATGTTGTTGCTTATAACTGTTACACTCTCTGGGTAATTGTTCTTGCCCCTGAGGAGTCAGGTTAGTGGGGAAGAGGAGATGGATATTCTGATGAATACAGGGCCTGTGGTGAGAGCTGTGGGAGAGGAGTGCTTTGGTACTAAGGCATGTTGCCATGAAGGTACCTGGGGACAAAGAATGCATTGAGAGCCTGGGTGAGGGTCAAGGAAGGCTTTCCAGGAGGGCATATTTGAGTCTTGAAGGATAAGGAAGAGTTTGATAGTTGAATAAGGAAAAAAAGGGCTTTCAAAGCAAATGTCATTTACATAAGGATCAGATATGTATCAATAAAGATAATAAAATAATGGGTGTCAGGTGAGAGTGAAGGAAGGAGTAAATGTTGAGTGTTTAGGACTTTCTGGGGCTTTATCTGCACACATATCTTACAACACAAACATGCTGTGTTTTTCTCATCTTCAGAATTCTTCATTCATACTTTTCTTTGACGGGTATTGCTCCATTTCTTTGTTCTCTTTCCAAGGAAACTTCAGGAGAGTGTGTTCTATACCTGGTCTCTAGTTCTTTATTTTGTGTTCTGTCTTAAGCTTACTTGTCAAAATTCCTCCTGCCTCTGTTACTGACTCCAGTGGTTGTCTCTTAGCCTTCATCTTATTTGATCAGTGGCATCAGACAAATCAGACACTCCCTCTTCACTTAAATATTTCTTTACTTGGCCTCCAGGACACTAAGATGTGCACTTGATTTCCTCCTCCCATCTCCTGAATGTTTCTTCCCCATCTCACTGATCTGGGGATGGAACTGAGGAGGAATGATGTTCTAGCATTTTAAAATTTTGAGACAGGATCTCGTGAAGATGCCCAAGCTGTCCTTGAACTTGTGTTCCTCCTTCCTCACCCTCTCTGGTCCCTGGGTGGACAACACCACCCTGGTCTTCTCTCTGATCTTTAAACAGTTGGAGCACTCCAGGCCTTAGACTTTGTGAACTCTTGCAGGCTACCATAAGCCAAGCACTCCTAATCCAGGCCTTTTTCCCCAGCTCCAGTGCTCATATATGCAATTGCCTGCTT